TTAGATGAAAATTAAAAAATTTTCTAAAAAATACTTTAATTTTTATTCTTTTGTGATTTTGTTAGTTATTTTTGGTGCGAATTCGGCTATTATTCCTAGTTTTTTAAAGACTTGGATTGGATATGATAATCAAGGTTTAGAAAAAGTGGGCGAACCAGAAATAGATAAGCAAAAAGAGAGCCTGAAATTACAAACTAAGAGAAACAGTAATAAAAAAATTGTAGAGGCACTTGAAAATTTGGAGAAAATTGGAGAGAATTTACGTACTGCTACTAAAATTCTAAATGATACGAACAAAATACAAAAGTATATTGATGAAATTAAAAAGATAAATAAATTAGATGAGCATATCACAACATTCTTTAAAAATAAATTAAATTTTGAAATGTTTGTAAAGTATTTCAATCAACAATACCAACAGATAGAAAGTGATCCAGAAAAAAAGTTTTCGAACCCAATGAAGGAAAAGTTTGAGGTGAGGTTTTTGTAGGGAAATTTTGATTTTTTTAGCGAAAAATAACCGTTTTTTGAAATTTAAAAACCCAAAAAATTTATTTTTAATTTTTTTGAATTTAAATTAAATTTTAAATTTAAATTACAAAATTTCGATTCGACATTTCGAAATTTCGACTCGAAATTAATGAAATTATTTAATTCCCGCAAACAACCAATAAGAGCCAAACTTTTTTTTCCGTGAAGAGCGTTTTTTAAATTTTTCCCGCAAATGACCTTGGGAGGGAAAATCATCAATTTTTCCTTATTTTCCTTCCTCCAACCCCTCTCCCTGTTAGGGTGGCGAGTTTAGTATAAAAGGCGAAGCCTTTTATTGTTGCTTCGTGATAAACCTTTGTTTGTTAGTCAAGTTACTTTCTGTTAGTATCGGACACAATCGCAAGTCGATACATAACACGCCCTCGAAGTTTACTGGGCCATTACTGTTGTCAACAACTCTATTTTAAACACAAACTCTAGGTTTTACTATCACATTGAAAACTTTCTCTAAAATTCGAAGTAAATTTGCAAATCAAAAAATTTTTTAAGAAATTGAATGGGCATTTAGAAGCATTGAAGAAAAATGATTTTACTAATTTTTTGACAAGCATCATTAAATGTAAAATGTTTAAAGAAAAATTTTTTAACAAGTTAAGAGTTAACAAAGAATCCCAAGTAGATAAACCTGATTTATGCAAAAGTATCGAAGATATTTTTTCTGAATTAAACGTTATATTTACGTCGGAGAAAGTAGATGATAACAACGAATTAAATAATTTCTTTGAAAATTTTGAAAAGCAAGAAATAGTCGATCATGCTCTGAAAGTAAAGTTGCAAATGGGATTAAAAAAGTAACAAATGGGGTTTTTGGGAATATATTTCATTCAAAAATAGGCAAAAATGTGAGTGAAAAACATGAGGAAAAGCATAAGAAATAAAATTAAAGATGGAATGTGAGAAGAAAATTATTCGAGGTTTTGGAAAAGTTGGAGAATTTTGCATTGGGCTACAAGCCAAGAACCATTGATCGAATGCACATAAATCCTTATAAATATATACCATTTTAACTCATTATTAACACTCCTATACAGGGTGACAAGAAAAGTTTAGGACAAACATTTTATTGCATAACTTTATTCACATTAAAAATATTGAGATCAAATAAAATTTATATGATAGAGATTAGAAAAAAAATTGACGAGAAAAAAAGTTACGGCGAAATAAAACTTGTCCTAAACATTTCTTGTCACCCTGTACAATCCCCAGAATGAATCATTCTAAGAATCCGAATAATTTCGACACCCCTTTCTTGAAAATCTGAGTGTTACTACTATTACCTTCGGGGATCAACAACTATGTATATACCGAGGTGTTACAGTTTCGCTTTTTAGGTTTTTTGGATTTTCGCGTTCGCATGTCCCTTTTTTAAATTTACATTCACCTTTCAAGTTTTGATTTTTAAAATCTGTTCGACACACTCTAGGTATATACCAGGGCTGGGCGAAATCAAAAAATCTAAAGCAAAATACGAAATGCAAATACGAAATAAAGCAAAATACGAAAAAAATGCGAAATATGCGAAGGATGCAAAAAGCCAGCCCTGGTAATTACCGCCTTACTTGAAACATCTAAATCTACATTGTTATTTTTAAATTGCACATACATATACATACATTTTTAATTTTATTTTTTATTGAATTGTACTGTGTTACGGCAACTTCGGAAATAGAAATCAAAAAAGGTAAAAAAAACTATTGCGAGAGCCGACGGTCTTATAGTGACAACTGTCGATTTCCAAATGATTTCTAGTCTGATCTTGAATTGTCGTACCACCTTTTATATGACATATATCTAAATTTGTTCAAATCATTTTTAGTTTTAGATAAAAGATTTCCATTTTTTATCTAACAATATTTATTTTCTAAGATTCCAATAATACTATACAATATGTTAGCAATATTTATTAGTTTAGATTTCTCACTTAACAAATATTCGGTCTTATTATTCTGATCAATATTTATTTTCTAAGATTCCAATAATACCATAGAATATGCTAGCAATATTTATTAGTTTAGATTTCTCACTTAACAAATATTCGGTCTTATTATTCTACTCAATATTTATTTTATAAGATTAAGTAAGTTAGTTTTCTAATAACGTTCAGGTATTCTTTGCCGACCACTGTTGTTTTTTGTTTTGGTTCTGCCATAAATTCTTTACAACTTTCATTTGTTTCAGCTTGTGCAGGTTGAACATTAAAATCAATCCATGGCGGGCTCTTGAAAGGTTGAAATTCACTCTCTCTTTTCCTTCAGCAGATCTTTCCTCAAATTCTGAAACTTTCGTTATAACTCCCGTTAGGGCGGCATCGTGGCTTTGAGTGGCGTAGGAGGTGGTGACCAAATCTCTTCCATTTAGTTCTTCGGCTTGCACTCTCGTCCTATGTAGTTAGCCTACTTTCCAAGAGGCATATGATCTGATTGATGAGTCTGGTGAAGAACATTGACAAAACGCCAAAGAATTCGAAAAGCAGTCCTTGTTTTTGCTTTTTAAATAATTAAATTTTTAAAATGAACAAATATAGCGATTTAATTTAGTAAAAGTTAAAAAATTAAAAATAGTTAAACTTAATAAAAATTGAAGAAATTCTTTGATTTTCAATAAAAATTAGTTTTATGTTAACCGATTTAGTTAAACTTTTTTTTAAGTTTTAAAGAAGGTCTGTAAAATATCTATAATCTCATTTCGACATTGAAATTAGATATTGGCCTAGTTCTTTTTTATTTTTTCTTAGTATCGATAAATATGTTATGTGAAATTTTTGTAGATGTTTCCTAAAATTCGAAACATGAAAATCCAAAGTGCGGCTATACTTTTGACCAATGAAAATTCTGGTATTTTTTGAAAATCTTGATTTTTTTGAATTCCTTGTAATAATTTCAAAAAGTTTGGCTAGGGTTCGGCTCATCAACTCAAAAGAACTCATGTTTTTCTTTTCCAAAAAGTTGTGAAAAGGTAAAATATCAGTATAAAAGTACTCAAAATGGTCCACTTTTGCACTTTTCCCAGATTTTCAGACCCCTGAAAATCCGAGAACCATAAGGGGGACAAAGCTGATTTTTGGGGTCAAAAATTCGAATATGCAAATAATAGCTCATTCGAAAGAGCTCGACGGCTGAATCGAATGACACCAAAATAAACGAAATCTGACTTGATTTGACAAAGTATGACCATTTATTTTTAAACCTTCCACAAGTTTTTGCCGCTGCGGAGGAAGCCGGGAATGTCGAGCGGAACGACGGCCGCCGCTTCGCTACGGTCGCCGCGAGCGACCGTAGCTCGCGGCGACCGTAGCGAGCACGGCCATTATGTAGCGAAGACCATGCCCGGCCTACCCTCCGTAGCAGCACAAAAACAGTTTTTCCAGCGAAGATTCAGTTGGTCATAACTTTGTTTATAAGCCTCCAATCGAGCTGATTTTGTTGTCATTCAACTCAGCTCGTCGAGCCCTTTCGAATGAGGTATCATATGTATAATCGAATTTTTAACCCCAAAAATCAGCTTGCCCCCCCCCCCCTATGGTTTTTCGATTTTCAGGGGTCAGAAAATCCGGGAAAATGCAAAAGTGGACCATTTTGAGGACTTTTATATTGATAGTTTACCTTTTTCACAACTTTTTAGAAAAGAAAAACATGAGTTCTGTTGTGTTGATGAGCCGAACCCTTACCAAAAGTTTTAATGTTATCATGTTTCTCATTTAATCTAAAATTTTTTTGCGAAATTTTATAACAATTGGCGTACTCAGTCCGGAGTTACACCGTTTTTTCAGGTGCGGCTATACTTTTGTCCCGCACTGTAGTTTCTGAAATAATTAATTCTCATTTTCTACTTTACTATAATACTGAAAACTCGCAAAAATCTAAAACCTTGTTGTAATAAATTTTACAATGAAAAACATTCTACCAATAATGAAAAAATGAAAATTTTTTATCCAAAATAAAAATGAGTTAAACAAATTTAAAAAATTGCTTAATTGTTGGTACGACAGTTCAAATTTTGATGCCAGATCAAACTATAGAGCCTTTGTAAATCGTCATTTGTCACTATAAGAACGGCGGTTCTCATGTAATAATTTTTTACTTTTCTTTTGAATTTTTGTCGTAGCACAGTAAATTCAGTTTAAAAAATAAAATTGAAAAGGGATATGTCAATTTAAAAATAATCATGTAGGTTTAAATGCTTAATAAAGGGCGGTATATACATAGTTTTTGATCCCCGAAGGATGATAATAACACTCGGATTTTCAAGACAAAAAGTGTCTAAATAAGGTTGTCGCATAGAATAGAATGAATAATCATCATTCAGTGGATTTAGGAGTGTTAATAATGAGGTAATGTGGTATATATTTATAAGGTATGTACATTCGGTCAATGGTTCTTGGCTTGTAGCCCAAATTAAAACTTCATCTGTTCCAAAACCTCGAATAATTTTCTTCTCACATTTCATCTTTAATTTTCCTTCTTATGCTCTTCCCCATGTTTACCACCAACATTTTTGCTATTTTTTGAATGCAACTTTTTCCGAATTCCATTTACAACTTTATGACTATATAAAACAGCACGATCGGCTATTTTCTCCTTTTCAAAATTTTCAAAGAAATGATCGAATTCGTCTTTATCATTTCCTTTCTTCAGAGTTTTATCCAACTTGTCGTTAAACATGTTGAACACATCAACAATGGCTGATGTAAATTTAACGTTTAAATCAGTAAAACATTCTTCGTGAGTTTTGCATAAATCAGCTAAATATGCTAGCAATTTTTTGTTCTTTTCGTAAGGTATTTGGGACTGTTTACCCTTTTTACATATATTGATGTTTGTCAAAAATGTAGCAAATTCATTTTCCTTCAATGCTTCTAAATGCTCATTCAATTTCTTAAATAATTTTTAATTTAAAAATTTACTCCTCATTTTTAGATATATATTTCGATGTGATAGTAAAATCTAGATGTGTTTAATATAGGGTTGTTAGCAATCCGGAATGGGCCAGGATGAGCTAAAACTCGGATTCGGGCGGATCTAGTTTATGTTTTGGAAAAGTCCGTGTATATGATTTGGTAGTTAGAAGAGTTGTTGACTGTCATGTCCGATGTTCATGCTGTGGAAAAATTGTGGATGGGAGATGGAATTGAACCATCATGGAATGAGCCCAGAATGAAGCACAACCGACTGTGCCACCATCCAACCCAATGCCGGGTTATTTATTTTTATTTATGTTCTTTCTGCAAGTGCGGACACAACATTGACAATTTTTAAATTTTGGAAACATATGAATGCTCAACATTGTTTAATTTGTGTCTAAAGCAAGGTCGTCCGACTATCTCAATTAACTGAAACCAAGCAACTTTTTCGGTCAAGCCTAACTGTAAAAACCTACAAAGTCGTCAGTTTTGGTTAAATATTGGTTTCTGTAATAGACGGTTTTGTGTTACGCATTTTTTCATCCTTCTAGATTAAAATGAGGAAAGAAATGCTTTTTCTATATTGTGGATGTTTTCAGAGTTAATACATATATTGAGCACGAATATGAGTTTATATTATATTTATTTCGCATCCTGGACATAAATCCATTTTCAATAAAAAATTCGTCTAATTTAAAAATTCAAGTCGAATTCGTTTTTTGAACTATTACCTCGGTTTCTTTTAATGGGAATTTCTTAAAAATTTCTCTTTTTCAAAAATTTCCAGTTTCTTGGTTTCAAAAGCGGTTAATTCAAAAGCGGTTAATTTTTGGCTAAAAAGCATCAAAATTTCTCTAAACAGAACCTCAAACTTTTCCTTCATTGTCTTCGAAAACTTCTTTTTTGAATCGGTTTTTATCATCAGGTATTGTTGATTGAAATAATCTACAAACATTTCAAAATTTAATTTATTTTTAAAGAATGTTGGGATTTTCTCGTCTAATTTATTTATCTCTTTAATTTCAGCAATATACTTTGGTATTTTGCCAATATCAGTTAGAATTTCAATAGCAGGAAGTAATTCTTTCGTAAATTTCTCCAAATTTCCAGCTTCTTCTGCTTCCTCTTTTAACTCTCCAATCTTTTTTTTAATATTATTCTCAGCATGTATCTTCAAGATCTCTTGAGCCTCATCCCCAACTATGTCTTCCACTTTTTCCAATTTTTGATAGCCATCATGGCTTCTTCCTAAATGAAGATGAACAGCATTAACCGACAAATTTGCACCGAAAATAATTATCAAAATTAAAAAACAATAAAAGTTTAATAATTTCAAATAATTTTTAAATCGCATTTTCATCTGTATAAATTAATTTAAAAATTGTTATTAAATAGTTATTTTATAAATTTAGAGTAATTTATAAAGTATCGTAAAAGAAACGGATTTTTAGCTTATTTTCTATTTTTTCCCGATCTCCCAATGTTTAAGAAGCAATAATCCAAAGTATTATTTTTCAGGGCAAGGAGAAATATGGATGCGAGAGCGGCTTGAGAGACCTTCTATATACGACCGGATTTGACATATCCGACCATATCCTATTTACCAGTGTATATCTCAGAAATTTCAAATTTTTTTAAAAAACGCTGAAACATGTCAAACGAGATACGAATTAAGCTTTCAATGGTATATAGAAGATGCATATCCATGAAGTATTCACCGAGAAACATGCTCAACGGGCATTTTTTATGGACCACCCTAATAATATAAACCGTGAATAATACCTTAGTTTAAGGAGTTTTTTAAAATTGCTTAGTGCCTGGATGCGAGAGCCGCTTAGAGACCTTCTATATACGAGACACTCAATCCTAGTTAAATTTTAAAGCTAGACGAATTTTATTAATTTTAAAATGAGGATAGCCTGTAGTCTCATTCTGTTTTATATTGACAAAAAAGCGCACGCCTCTATTATTGACTCCACCAAAAATCTTTGTCCATCTCTTTTTAAATTATATTTCTCTATTGAAAAATTTAACCCAGGTAGCGAGAGTAAATTCCAACACTCCCCTTCATTGTTATAGAAAGAAAGTGGTAGGGCTAAGAAAAATTTAAATGTCTGGTGAGCTATAGGATACGCGTGTGGCGATCCATAGACGTCTAGCGATTCGATTCAGACTGTCTCACGTTTTTGGACTGTTTGACAGGAATTTTGAGGTTTTTTCAACTCTTGTTAAGACAAAAATTAAAATTAATTTCAGATATAAAATTTCAGATAAAATTAATTCAAAAATCTCCGAAAATAAATGTTTACCGAACTTATGTAACTACTCATATTCATGTTGTGTAGGGGTTGTAAAAAACGTCCGGATTTCGTGTTTAAAATCTGCGCGAGTTTTGTTCGGCAAATGGATTATCTCGGCACCTTTTTTTATTAATCGTTAATTTCGATTCAGCCTAACACTAGTTCCGATTTATGCCGAAGACTAGTTATGGTCTTTTCTTTTACCAAATCTAAATTGAGCATAAACTTAAGTTTGCCAAACACTTTAAAAGCTGACTAACATTGTCTCATGACATTAAGTCATATGCATTTAAAGTCAAATGCCTTTAAAGTCATATGCCTTTAAATAGAGTGCATTCACAAGGTCTTATTGGCAAAAAAGCTCGTCTCTCGAAAAATTGACAGACAGAAGAAAAAATTTAATATTGTTTAAATTATTAATTAAATTAATTTGATAAAATATTCTCAGAAATTTGTATTTAAAATTAATAAAACCGGTAAATATTGAAAACCTGTTATTTATATTATTAAAGTCTATCAAATTTTCTATCAAATTTTGTAAGGCAATTGATATCAAAATTTTAAAGTTAAAACCTTCACGGATTGATCTAGATAGGAGTATCGCCTAGCTAGTTCTCCATCTCAGATTTTACAACACTTTTATTTACAAAAATAAGGAAATATAAAAAAAATTTGAAGTTAATATTTTAAGATTTTTACTTAATTGCCGTAAATTCTCTAATATAAGCCCGGCTCTAATAGAAGCCCATCTCTAATATAAGCCCACCTGAGAAGGTCTATCGAAAAATATAAGCACTGTTTCTGATAGAAGCCTATACTAATATAAGCACATTCAAAATTTTTTCTAAAAATTTTGCTGCCATATTCTAAATTAATGTAAATCATTGTTTTTATGTTTTATTATCATCAAATAAAATTAAATTTTGTTCGGCAAAATCATCATTACATATGAGGTTATTTTAAAGGGGGTAATTATATTTTGAGGGGATAATTATTTCTTCAATATCTGGCTGTAGGAGGTAATCAGTGTGTAATTATCTGAGTAAAACTTTAAGTTTGTTTTATCTAATGAAGTCAAAAAAACTTTCCTTCTATGTTTAATTAATTAATTAATTAATTATTTAATTAAATCAATATTAAAATTTCTCTATTCAAAGTCAAACTCAATTTTTGTTAACCATGCGGGCGTTTTTGGCATTCACTCCTTGAAAATGCACTTTAGTAATTTTTCATTTAAAAATTTAACCCAGGTAGCGAGAGTAAATTCAAACCTCCACTTCACTGTTATAGAAAGGGAGTGGTAGGGCGAAGAAAAATTTAAATGTCTGGTGAGCTATAGGAACGCGTGTGGCGAGCAAAAGACGTCTAGCGATTCGATTCAGCCTATCTTACGACGTTTGACAGGAATTTTGACGAGTTTTTTTGTCAATTTCTGTTAAGATAAAAATTAAAAGTTTTTAATATCACAACTCTCGGAAATAAATGTTTACCAGAACCAATATAACTAATCATAATCAGCGTAGTGTATGGGCTGTGAAAACGTCCAGATTTCGTGTTTAAAATCTGCGCGTTTTTTGTCAGGCAGATTGATTATCTCGACACCTTTTTTATTAATCGTTAATTTCGGTAATATCGCGGTAGTACCTAATTATGCCGAACATTTATTATGGTCTGTTCTGTTAATAAATTTAAAATGAGCATAAACTTATGTTTGCCAAACACTTTAAAAACTGACTAAGTATTACATATTGTCTCATGACATTAAGTCATATGCATTTAAAGTCAAGTGCATTTAAATAGAGTGCATTCACAAGGTCTTATTGGCAAAAAAGCTCGTCTCTCGACAAATTGGCAGACAGGGGAAAAAATTTTATATTGTTTAAATTATTAAGTAAATTAATTAAATAAAATATCCTCAGAAATTTGTATTTAAAAATTAATAAAACCGGCAACTAGTTTGAAAACCTGTTAGTTATATTATTAAAGTTAGTAGGGAATCTATCAAATTTTGTAAGGCAATTGATATCAAAATTTTAAAGTTAAAACCTTCACGGATTGATCTAGAGTGGAATATCGCCTAGCTAGTTCTCCATCTCAGATTTTACAACACTTTTATTTCCAAAAATAAGGAAATATAAAGAAATTTGAAGTTAATATATTAATATTTTAAGATTTTTACTTAATTGCCGTAAATGCTCTAATATAAGCCCGGCTCTAATAGAAGCCCATCCCTAATATAAGCCCACCTGAGAAGGCCTATCAAAAAATATAAGCACTGTTTCTAAGGTTATTTTAAAGGGGGTAATTATATTTTGAGGGGATAATTATTTCTTCAATATCTGGCTGTAGGAGGTAATCAGTGTGTAATTATCTGAGTAAAACTTTAAGTTTGTTTTATCTAATGAAGTCAAAAAAACTTTCCTTCTATGTTTAATTAATTAATTTATTAATTAATTAATTAATTAAATCAATATTAAAATTTCTCTATTCAAAGTCAAACTCAATTTTTGTTAAGACATGCGGGCGTTTTTGGCATTCACTCCTTGAAAATGCACTTTAGTAATTTTTCATTTAAAAATTTAACCCAGGTAGCGAGAGTAAATTCAAACCTCCCCTTCACTGTTATAGAAAGGGAGTGGTAGGGCTAAGAAAAATTTAAATGTCTGGTGAGCTATATGATACGCGTGTGGCGAGCAAAAGACGTCTAGCGATTCGATTCAGTCTATCTTACGACGTTTAACAGGAATTTTGACGAGTTTTTTTGTCAATTTCTGTTAAGATAAAAATTAAAAGTTATCTCGGAAATTAAATTTTTACCCGAACTCATATAGTGTTGTGTAGGGGTAGTGAAAACGTTGGATTTAGTGTTTAAAATTTTCTCGCTTAGTGTTTGGTAAATTGATTATTTCGGCACTGTTACTACCAACCGTTAATTTAGTTTTTCGCGGTAGTACCGATTGTAAAATACTTTCCTCTTTCCTAGGAAAACTATTTCACCTTCCTATTTATTTAATATGGAATTATATATATATAAAGAAAGAGGGGGGGTCCATCTACAAGAATCAAGATTGCATCGAAGGCGTAGAGATAGGTTCGGAAAAGTTTTTTTGTTATTTTGGGCCACCGGTGTAGTATTTGGGAAAAATCGGAAAAGTCGAAATTTGGTTCGACAAAAGGTCGAAAATCGAATTCGAAAAAAACGACACTTTGCCAGTTTCGGTATAACTCGAAAGTAAAAAGTCGGAGAGCTTAGCTTCTGCTGGCTGGCCCTCAAGTTGGACCAGATCCTACATTAATAAACTTTAGTTGAAGAGTTTCGGTCGACTTGAAGGGTAGATGTGCTCTGGACAAAATTTGGACAAATTGTCACTTTAGAGGTTTTGGGACCTAAACATGTCGAAAACGAACCCGGACCGGAAATTTTTTGCCTGCAAACTTGCAGAACTCCCGGAAACACACCGAATGACGTGTAAATGGTTCAAAACGGACTTTTCTGGACAAAGTTATGACCGGTCAAACCCAAAGTCGCAAAGTCTGACTTTTCAGACTTTCGACCATAACTTTTTTTTAGGGACCGGGATAGAAAATCAAAAAAAAGCATTTTGAGATTTTTTCGTTAGGTTTCGAAATCCGTTGAGATTTTTAAAATCGGCCGAGCCATCTTGGAGCTACACATGGTATTCGCAGAATTGTCGTTATTTTGGCCAAGTATTCGCGAGCTTAGGGAAGGGGAAAGTCTAGGGGTGGAAAATTTAATACGACATCTACATGGGAGTGTGTGGTATCATTCGATAGGTCTAGGTGAGGGGAGTTTGAAAAAAATATTTTCGGGGGTCACTTGAGTCTCGGAAAAATTTTTTAAGGAAAATAGATTCTAAGGCATAGGGTGTGTTGGGGAGTAGTTGGACTGAAGTGGGGAGGCTTTGCGAGGATTTTTGGGAAAAAGGGTCACTTGAGTCTCAAAATTTAAAATTTTGAAAAGGATTGAACCTGGTCGAGTTTGGTGTCATTCGATAGGTCTACATAAGGGGAGTTTTAAAAAAATATTTTTGAGGGGGT